GTATTCGCCGCAGTGACCGGCGCATCCCTCTCAGCAGAGCGGCCTCAGCTCTCACATAGCGGCTGGGTCAGTGTTTCCTTCCTTGTTAATATCCCACTAGCGGCCACATTTCGTGGGTCCACGCAGGCACTGATGGACTCTGGGTCGCTGCCGCCTTCGAGCTCCTGGAATAATGTCCCTGGGAATGCGTGCGCACCCGTCCCCCGAGTCCCCACTGCTTTTCTCTGGGAAGCCTGCCCTGAAGGGCCAGAACCGGGTCATCTCATCCCACTGTCGGGGATACTCTGTGGATCCGACTGGGCGACACTGTTTGGGAACGTTGACCCGCTCTGCCTCTGGCCTCTGCCTCTTTGGGCCTCTCCCCTTAGCGTGCGAGGTCAGACTTGGGGAACTCTTTGGCTCTTTATAAACAAACGAGATGCAGCTTCAGTGGATGCCACGGGCCTGGCCTTCTGAACAATGACCCGTGAGCGCAAATGCTGCTTGCACATCCCAGCTTGGCTGTCTCTGGGGCACTCTGGGACGTCCCTCAGAGGAGACAAGGACATCCCCATGGCAACGGAGGTTCTGTCGGCACGGGGCCACCACCCTGCCCGCCTGTCACATCCCCCCTCACACAGGAAAGGCGGCAGCACCCGCAGGCAGGACTGAAGGTGGCCTTGACGCCAGGCACTGCCCTGACCTCCTGTGGGGGCTTTCAACATGGCAGGAAACTCACAGGGAGGCGGCCGAAAGACAGGAACCCTCTCAGGGAGCCCTGGTGGGCACTCTGCGTGTGTGTGTGTGTGTGTGTGTGTGTGTGCACGCCCCCTCCCCCACGCTTTAACAAGACAGCCTTTCCTGTCCCGGGCTACAGCTTGATTGGGCACAGAGAGTGTGTGTTTCTGTGAGCAAATACTCATGAGCACGTGTCTGTGTATGTGTGTGCAAGTGCATGCATGTGTGCATGTATGTGTGTGTGCATGTGTTGTAAGTGTGCCGTTCATATAATATGTGTGTGTACATGTGGGCATGTGTGAGTGTGTATGTGTATGTGCAAGTGTGTGTGTGTGTGTGTGTGCGCGCGCGCACGCGCATGTACTGTGAGTGCGCTGCTTAATCGTGTTGCCCTTGTGTGTTTGTGTGTGCACATGCGGGCATGTGCGCAAACGCATACGTGGGCATCCATCCATGTGTGAGAGTATGTGTATGTGTGTGCGTATGTGGGCATGTGTGCAGCTGTGTATATATGTGTGTGCATATGTGTGCATGCATGTGGATGTGAGAGTGTGTGTGTGTGCTCATGTGCATGTGCATGTGAACTCATGACTGGTCAGGGCCCACATACAGCGCACAGATGGAAGCCCCCCAGTACAAGTCTGCGCCCTGATGCGCTTGGGAGGGCAGCACTGCTCCCCAGACTGGGCTTTGGGGTGCCGGTACCTAAGTGGGGGCTCGGCACACTTGCTTGAGACCGACTCAGAGCCTTAACAGGGTCTTCACTCCGCCTCTGCTTTAGGGTATCCAGAGGGAGGGATGGGGCCAGAGACTAGACCAACACCCTATCAGACAGGGCCGGAGCCACCGTCCGGGCTGACTGCTGAGTTGGGGCCATGCTGGGACCTCCTAAGCCCTTCTCAGGGCCCCTCAAGACCTCCCCAGACATAATCTGAAAACACCTAAGTGTCTCTCCTTGCCAGCCCCCCCTCAGCCCAGGCCTGTCAGCAGGACCGTGGGATGTGCTGGACCCTGGGCGCTGTCAAGAGTCCCACCCTGCTGGATCAGCTAGAATCTTCCTCCCTACCTACCCGGGCTCCTCGGCCCCCGTCAGCCCCCAGCCTGCCGTGCACGAGAATCCTCTCAGGGGCATTACCTGAGATTTCTTCTCAGACAGGACCCCCACCCCCCACCCCAGACATCCGCACACCTACCCCTGCAGGGCTCCAGATGCAGCCTGGGCTCAGCACAGTCCTGCCACCGACAGCCCGGCATGGCCATCCCAGGCATGCGGGGAGGGTAGGAGTGGGGGTTATGGGCAGGGAAGAGAGGAGTAGAGGGGGTCAGAGAGCCTGAGCAGCAGTCTGGAAGGAAAACGGTGCAGGGACATTTCCAGGGAAGGGGTCAGAGAACGTTTCTTTTGTGCTTTGTTTTGCTTTAGTACCTGGGATCAAACATGGGGGAGATCTCTGGGGCAGGGGAGTGTCAGGGACACAGCTGACGCCCCTCTCCACACACCACCATCGGGGGACACCTCAGCCCACCACACACCTAAGGCTTCTCCCCCAGGAGGCCCGCAGAGGATGCTATCCTGGTGCTCTGTCCGAGGGGTCCCCCTCACCAGCCCGGTGCTCTGACCGAGGGCCCCTCAGCAGGCTCTGTCTTGTGTGTAATTGAATGCCCGGCTCTGCCCCTGAGCTGTTCTTTGCATGTCCCTCCTGTCACTTAGGCTAATGGACGGGACCAGTGCAACACAACACAGATCAAAAGGGGCCCCATCACCTTTAAAATCAGGGAGAAACGGGCTGTCTTGGCCGGTTTGCTGGGGTCGGGCGCCCCCGTGTGTCTCTGCAGGGAAGTAAACGCATGGTGGCAGCGGGTCCCTTGGTGGCATGACACAAACCCCCATCCAAATCTTGCGCTGGAGGGAGCACCAGGCAGGCCCAGGGATTCCAAAAGTGTGACAAAGTCCAGCCGTAGGGGTGGGGGGCTCCCAGGCAGTGCTCAGGGTACCCAGGGGTGGGGCGGAGACAGAACTCCTGGCAGTACTCAGCCCAGTACTGCTCGGGCCACCAGAACCTCCTGGAGGTACTCCGGGTGGTGGCAAGAACGGGGCCCAGGGCCTCCGCGTACGGCACGCACTGCGGCCCTTTGTGTGTCTGTGTCTGCCTGACCAGATACACATATCTGTGTGTGTCTGAGCATGTGTGTATGTGTGTGTCTCCGTGTGTCAACTGAGGTCAGCTGGTCACGGTGAGGACCAGCTGAGGCTGTGGGCATGATCCCGGGTGCAGGATGAGTGTCCGCCACTCTGGTCTGGGGTGCAAATGCTCACCTGGCCTATGTGGCCTCAGGGCAGGGACTAGAGGCACTTCGAAGGCTGCCTGTCTTAGAGGGGCCTGGGAGGTCAGTGGTGGGTTCGGGGGAACCTCAGTGACCACGCCCCCCCAGGGTGGGGAGGCCAGGTACAAGGGGTACAGGAGGAGATTCAAACCCGCACAGGGCAAAGGGAAGACACGTCCAGAACGGGAGGGCAGCAGAGCCGTTAGGGGGACGGGGGGATGCCCAGTGAGTTACCCACGAATGAGGGGGCACAGGTCAGAGGTGGTAATTCAAACTGCCTGAGTCCAGGAGTCTCCTACTTCCCCAGCTGAGGGGGCTGCTGGCCACCCGTATCCTGGCCCTGTCCTCGCACCCACAGTCTTCGCGACACCCCCCTCTCCTCCTCTGGGTCCCTGCTGCAACCTCACCTCATAGCTGCCTTACCACCTACAACACCCAGGCTCTGCTCAAGATCCTACATGGTTTCACCTTCTCTGACACACTGTCCAGAGAGCACGTTCCCCAGAACGAGGTCCTCCCTTTGCCATGACCTAAGTCACTGAGCTTGTTCAGTTTAAGGCACACGTTCAAACTCAAGAATCTGTGCTCAGCAGTGGGCAGAGAAACTGTGGACTACCCACGGCAGAGTACACTGGGCGGGAGGCTTGCTGCAGTTTGGAGTGGAGAGTGACATGCTGAGAGCAGTGAATCAAAGGGAGGACAAAGGCCAGCGGAGTTCACTCAGCTGGGGTGCAGAGACAAAGCAAGGGAACAGACAGCCAAACCATGACAAACCGCTGACCCCAGATTACAAAACAGATTTCCAGGCAGTGGGGGAGGATGGGAAGGAAGACATGGACCAGAAGTGGCTGACTCAGGGTCCGGGGCTCTTAGGGTAAAGGTGCAGTAACTCTACATGGAAAGCACACACAAACATTAACACTATTGTAACACTGTTGTAACCATGTTACTTAATAAACTATTATAATTTTTTAAAGAAATTGTGTTCTTAATAAACTATTATAATTTATTTTTAAAGAAATTGAGCGGAGATGTGACTCAGCATCAGAACCCCCGCCTCGTATGTGTAAAGCCCTGGATCAACTCCCAGCACGGCAAAAATAAATGAAAGACTCCGAAAGGGTTAACCGTAGCGGGCACAAGCACGCCAGGCCAAGCTGAGCAGCCCACTCCCACGAGCACGGGAGGGGAGCGAGGAGGGAAGAGTCTGGGGCTAGGCCCAGGACACGCGTCCGGCAGGGGCGAGGCCGGGCTGTGACCTGGGCATCACGAAAATGAACGAACAACAGGAACTCAATCAGCAGCTCTTCGGCTTGGGCTAGTCCCTAGCGCCAGCAAGACAGCTCCTAGCCCAGCCCGCCCCGGCCCTGGCAGGAGGGAGAGGCGGAGCGGGGCGGAGCTACAAGAGTGGGCGGGGCATCGGGCAAGGGCGGGGCATCGGGCAAGGGCGGGACATCGGGTAGAGGGCGGGGCCACGGCGGGGCGGGAACATCGGGAGGGTTAGGGGTGGCCTTGGGGGCAGGAAGTCACTGCGGGGACCGGCCGGCCAGACTTCCGGCGGACGTCGTGATGAGGATCGGAGGGGCGGGGAACTCGGGAGCGGGGCTTCTGGGGGCGCGGCCGGGCGCTCTGCGAGCGTGATTGGCCGTTGTGGGGGCGTGGCTCGGCGCTCTGGGGCGTGACTGGGCACTCTAGGAGCGTGATTGGACGTTCCGGGGGCGTGGTTCGGCGCTCGGGGGCGTGATTGGCCATTCTGGGGGCGTGGCTGGGCACTTGGGGACGGGGCTCAGAGGTCCGGGAACCGGGTTCGGCACTCGGGGCGGGGCGGTGCGGTGCACTCGGGCCCTGGGTCTGCGCTCGGGGGCGTGGCTGGGCGTTTGGAGGTGTGTGGACGTGCCGGGGGCTCGGCGTTTGGGGGCGGGGCCGGGTGTTCCGGGGCGGGGCGGGGCGGGGCGGGGAGACCGGCCGGGTGGCTGCGTGGGCTGCGTGCGGGTCCCGACGCGGTTCGGTTCCGTGGTCCGTGCGATCGGGGCAGCGAGGTGGCGCCTGGGCACTGGAGCCCCGCCATGGCGGCAAGCTGGGCACTGGCGTGCGGCCGGCTCCGGCGCGGCCCGGGGGCTCGGCTGGCCGCGGGCTTCTGCAGCGGGACCCCGGGGCCGCGGCCCACCCGCGCGCAGCAGCGGGACGGCGTCAGGTAGGCAGCCTCCCGACCTTGGCGGGCGGTGTCCGCGCCGCCCTGCCCTCCCGAGCTTGGCCCGCGCCCAGGGGCGCCTGTTGGTGGGGGAAAGGGCAGCGCGCCCCATGACCCGGCCCGGGAGAGACGCAGCGCGGCGGAGAAGGCTCTGCGTGCACGCAGCCCACCCAGCTTGCATCCCGGGCGTTCCATATGGTCCCTCTGAGTCACCGAGTGTGGCCCCAGAACGAACAGACACACACCTGGCGGGAGAGATGAAGCCCCCTAAACTACCCAGGCCTCTACAGGGGGGAGAGCCCCACCCAGCGCGTCTAGGTGTGCTTCTCGCCAAGCTAACTGCAGAATCTGCCAGCTGCTTACCTTCCTACCACCTGGACAGCCAGGCTGAACTTCACAACAACCCCCAGGCTTCTGGGACCTCCTTCCCTTTCCCCAAAGGCTGTCGGGCACCCCTTCCTCTCTCTTCCCAAACCACCTGTAGCTTTTTTCTCTTCCCAGAATGCACCTCCCCCACCTCCCAGGCCCTGCCCTAGGCATAGGGCGCCTGGGTGGGACACCCCATTCAGCTGGCCAGCCCTCCACCCTGCCCACTAAGGCCACTGTTCTTGGCCATCCCCTGGGCCTGGGGTTTCCCCTGCAGAGCCAGAGGTGCCAGAGCCTGGTGTCCATGCCGTAGGTGAGGTTTCTATGGGCACATCCCATCATGCTTAGGGACTCCTCATATGGGGGAGGCCCAGGAGGGTCTGTAAAGTCCCAGCGCTTGTGGGGGTCCTTCTGGCCTGCCAGTCAGAGAACCAGACCTGAGTTCCCTGATGCCAACACCGGCCAGAGACGATCGCCTGGAATGCCTGAAACTGTCTCCTCCCGGTGGTGGGGAGCCAGGAATGGCGCACCGTGCAGAACCCCACTGGCAGCTACATTAGTGGGCTGGGGCAGCCCCTTCTCCCCGAGAGCAGGGCCTCTGAGGCATGGTGGCTGGGGCTGCCGGGCCTGCCTTCCCCCCGTCCTGTGGGGCTCGGCCGGAGGCCTTGGCCTTGGCAGTGGCTGCATCTCAGCCCAGGCCACAGCGCCAGCCTGCCCTCCCGAGCTTGGCCTGCGCCCAGGGGCGCCCAGCACCAGCAGCAGCTCTGGGCCCCAGTGTCAGGCCCTGTGAGAAAACATGCTTGCGAGAAACCCCCAGGATCCTGGCGGAAGGCTGACCTGCAGGGAACTGGGGGCGATTCAGTACTCAGAGCCCCCCATAGGGACCTGTTGCCCGCGCTGGGCACATCATTCCCAAGAGAGGGTTTTCCTGACAGGAGGCAGAGAACTCTCCAGCTGGGGTTGGGGCTGAAGTCACCAGGGCTCTACCCGGCTGTGATGTGCTGGGGTCATGCCCAGGGTGAGACTTGCCCAGGCAAAGCAGACACCTCGCTGCTGAGCAGCCCAACCCAGAGCATCTCTCCATCAACCCCGGACACCGCAAGGCAGCCCAAGGGACTCTGCACGTCAGCCACTGCTTGACCATGTTCAGAGCCGGCCCCTGTCACGCTGCCCCTCACAGAGCTCCCAGCCCTGCTATGGGCACGGCTGGGAGAAGGTGGAGATGCTACCCAGAGCATGCAGGCGGCTGTCACAGCGTGGCCTCACTCGGCCCCTTCTGAGAATGGGGACCTGCCACGGTGCCACAGAGGCCTCCAGAGTCTGGAGCTGCTGCCGTGGAAAACCTCGTCCAGCGAGCACAGAGAGAAGGGGGTCGGGAGGCAGCCCGCCCGGAAACCAGAGAGGGGGCTCAGGTCCCGGGGCTCATGGACACACTCTTACAGGAGCATCGTCCTGAGCAACCCCCAACGGCGGAATGCACTGTCCCTGGCCATGCTGAGATCTCTTCGCAGTGACCTCCTCCACGAGGCTGACAGCCCCGAGCTCAAGGTCATCGTCATTTCAGGTGTGTCTCAGGGTGCCCTGCAGTGGCCAGGAGCACCTTCTCCAAGTCTTTGCCCTGGGAGGATCATCCCAAAGTTCCTTTCAAAGAACATTAGCTCTGGAGGCCAGAGGCTTGGTCCCGGGTGGGGGTGGGGGCTGTGGTAAGGTTCCATCCCCAGCACCAGCAGGAGTGATCCCTGAGCACAGAGCCAGGAGTCCCCCCTGAGCACCACCAAAATAAATAAATGACCTGCCTGCAGAAGGCGAGCGCAATTGCCCTGTGTGCCAGCCGGGCCAGCCTCCAGCCTGATGCCTGATAGCCATGGGCCATCCGGGGGAGGGCAGAGCTGCCAGGGTTTGTGGGGCTTGCCCACACGCTGGCTCAAGCATCTGCGTGTTTTTGGACAGAAAGGGCAAGTTTGGGGCTGTCTCCCACTCCTGTTTGCCCGTGAGTTGTTGACGGGAGCATGCAGGGTGTGTGTGTGTGGGTGTCAGCCAAGCCACAGGAAATATCCACGGGGCAGCTTGCAGGGCCTCTGTGCTGTGTCAAGCATTGTTTGAGGGGGTCAGAGTTCTGCATCCAGGGGAGCTGAGTTTGGGGAACGTTACCTTCCCCTCGGGCAGGGAAAGAAACAGAAGTGCAGTTCCACAGCCTCGTGCCCACCCACAGAGGAACAACTGGGCAGGGGTGCTGCAGCTCCAGTGTGCCCCCTATAAAAAACAAGGGGGGCAGTTAATAGCACCTGTCCAGGTGGCCGTGACATGGTGCTTCCAGCTTGCCTGGGAACTTCCTTTGCTGCCACCGTGAAGGATCTCAGATGTCAGATCTCCCCTTCAAAGGGGCTTCTGGGCATCACCACATGTGAGCCCTGAGCCCCGTCAGCCAGCCATAGCCAGAAACCAAGATTAGTCCTTGAAAGGGGCTCTTGGGGCTGGAAAGATGGTTTAGTAGTGTACTCCAGGCTCTGCCTGTGGGGACCCGTGCTCCAGCTCTGGTACTACCCAGTCACCCCAGCACCGCCAGGTGTGGTCCCAAATCAATAATAATAACAATAAAGGGACTCTCTGGGTGAGGGAGACAACTCAGGGGGCCCGAGCTCACTCTTGGCATGCCAGAGCTTGGATACAACCCGGTCTCATATGGTCTCCCCATGACCCCCAGACCTAGCCCCCTCGCATGGCTGGGTCACGCCAAGCCGACGCCTCTCTCTCGTCCCTTTTCTCAGCCGAGGGGCCTGTCTTCTCTTCGGGGCATGACCTAAAGGAGCTGACAGAGGAGCAAGGCCATGAAGTCCATACCGACGTGTTCCAGACTTGTGCCGAGGTGAGTCAGTGCAGGCAGGGCCCTGTGGAGGGGTCCCCGGGAGATGCCCCTCAGGCCTGGTTCCGGGGATCCCTCGGGTAGACAGCTGTTGGTTCCTACTCTTCAGAAGGGGCCAAAGCTGTTGTCCAGGGAGGCGGGCACTGGGCTTGCACGCAGCCAAGCTGGGTTTTATTCTGGCACCTCATGTGGGTCCCTGAACACCATCAGGCGTGACCCCTGAGAACAGAGTGGGGAGTCAGCCCTGAGTACCACCTACCTCCAAGACAAACAAAAGGAAGAGATGCAGTTAGCTCTTGTGTTTGCATATCGTTGGAAACCCTTGAATCCACACCCACCCTGAGAGTTGCCAGCTCGGGCTTAAGGGGGTCTGTCACGGTGACCCTGCTTTAAGCTTTGGCAAGTCCTGGTCAGAGGAAGAGCCGGAGCAGGAGACCGAAGATGATTCAGAAACCCGTCTCTGAGCGCTATCTGCACTCAGCCAGAGGACCCTGCCACAGCCTGGCAATGGGCGGCTGGACCACACTTGGCGAGGGGAGGGGCGCACCTTTGGCAGCTCTGGCCGCACACCCCAAACTCCTTGGCCCTCTTCCTGTTCATGTTGAAGTGCTGATTCGGGGAAGTCCATGTCCCCCTTTGCCTGCTCGTGGAGCACTGGCCCGAGCACTGCTGTTCCTTGGGGCAGAGCAGGGTCATGTATTGGAGCAGATCAACCCCAAAGTGGCACGTTAGTCAGGAGGGGGACAGGGGTGCCTCCAAGGGAGCACGGGGCTAAGGCCCCTCACAGCTGCCCAGCACCCCTTTGGCCAGGGTCAGGGCAGGCTGAAGTTTTGAGGCGTGCTGGTGCCCGGAGCAGCTTCTGGCTGTCCTCTGGGAGGTGGCCCCATTATGGAAGGTGTGGAGCCAAGGACAGCGGGTTCCACCCCTTTCCCCAGGGTGGGCCAGGCTCTGAGGTCTGAGCATGAGATTGCGAGGGGCTGAGCGGTCCTCCAGACCCCCACATGGCTGTTCTGGCGGGGCAGCAGGGGCTTCTGCCGAGACATGGGGTCTCAGCCCCCCACCAACATGAACCCCTTCTACTCCGGGGCCCGGCTGGCACTGCTTCTGGGTCACCCAGCCGCTAACCCTTTGGGCTACATGTGTGAGAGCAGGAGTGGGCATGGCCCCTCTCGCCACAGCCCTGCATGCCTGCTCCGGCAGGTCATGATGCTGATCCAGCGCCACCCGGTCCCCGTCATCGCCATGGTGAACGGCCTGGCCACCGCGGCCGGCTGCCAGCTGGTGGCCAGCTGCGACATCGCCGTGGCCAGTGACAAGTCCACCTTTGCCACTCCGGGAGTGAACGTTGGGCTCTTCTGCTCCACCCCTGCCGTGGCCCTGGCCAGGGCCGTGCCCAAGAAGGTAATGCCCACCCAGGCTGGGCCCAGTGCCCGCAGGCATGCGCCATCCCCTGGGAGGGTGGGGGAGGGTGGGGGCTGGCATCATCTCAACCTTTTTGTTTCTTAGAACAAACTTTGCACTGATGCGTTCAGAGAACAGGCACCTCCTGTTGGCCGCCAGTGTGCCAGAAGGGAGGTTCCCACGCCAGGGGCAGAGTTGGCCAGGTGGGGGGTGTCCAGGGCTGGACAGGCCTGACACTGCCCGGTTTGTCCCGGGTCCATGTGCCCTCCGCATCCCCCCCTTCCATTCTCCCCTGAAGCTCAGATGGTCCAGATTCCATGGGGTGCGTGAATGCCGGGTCGGGGACAGTGGATGGAGGTCTGGAGCTGGCCACCTGTGGGCGGTTACTCCTCCCTCAGGCTTCAGGGGCTGCACCTCTCACCTGGGGGCCCCATTCAGTGGGACAACAAGGACATGTGTCCTCCCTGCCCCATGCACCTACTGGGCCAGGGCAGAAGCTGTAAATTGACCCTTGAACACGGGCCACTTTTGTGGGCACCCAAAGCCCTCTGCTGGGCACCTGGAGCCCAGCCACCTGCCCTGAAGATTCCACCCTGCCAGGGCTTGCCTCTGCCAGCTTAGGGCCCGTCTGCATGCCAGTCTGCGCCAGCCTCTGTCTCCGCACCCGAGTTGTGGGCATGGGGACCCGAGGCTGGAATCTTCCATCCGACTCTGCACTTCCCAGGAAAGGTTCTGGAATGAGTCTGTCGTGCGTGAGGGGCAGTGGGTATGAGTCACCTGCAGACAGGCACGGGGAGCCTGGGGAAGCGAGTGACCGTCTGCCTGCCATCCCCCAGGTGGCCATGGAGATGCTGCTCACGGGGGAGCCCATCTCGGCCCAGGAGGCCCTGCGCCACGGGCTGCTGAGCAGGGTGGTGCCCGAGGCACAGCTGGAGGCCGAGACATCGCGGATCACGAGCAGGATTGCCGCCCTCAGCCGGCCCGTGCTGGCACTGGGCAAAGCCACCTTCCACCGGCAGCTGCCACAGGACCTGCCCACCGCCTACCACCTGGCCTGCCAGGCCATGGTGGACAACCTGGGCCTGCGGGACGGCCGGGAGGGCATCACCGCCTTCCTGCAGAAGAGGAAGCCCCACTGGTCCCACTGACCACCCGCCCATGTCCGCCGACATCGCCATCAGAGGAAGTGCGAGGGTCGCCCAGCTCAGCGGGAGGGGCTGTCCCTGGCCCCACGCATCGGGCAAATTGAAATCTAGGGCTCACCTTGTCTCTAACCACAGACCCACCCACACCCAGGGACAGGGCCCTGCCGGGAAGGGTCGAAGGGCACTGCACTGCCTGAGTCCCCTCCCATCCCCTCCCGTGGCCAGTTGGCAGTGGGCTCTGCTCCTTCCTGCGGGCAGTTGTGGGCCTGGCTGTCTTCGTTCCTACCGGCCACTTCACGCGTGAGCTTGCTGGGCACAGACCGGCTGGCGGCCCTGAGCCCAGGGTGACTAATGGGCTACAACAGCACCTGGACTGCGCCCCTGTCCCCAGCGACCCCCCGCCCGCCTCCCCTACACCACAGTACCTTCTTGTGCCTTTCTGACCAACAGCCATCCCAGTTCCGCTGGGATCTGGAAGCGGCTGCGAGAGCAGAGCCAAGTGCCTTCCCCAAAGCTCATGCTCAGTGGCTGAAGGAGCTGTGAGTGCTGGAGGCCCTGCTGGGCGTCTCGGGGGGGCTCCTGCCCATGGTGTCCTCCTGCTGCCACCCTGCCCGCTGCTATTTTCTCTCCCACGCTCACTCGCTCACTCGCATTGGAGAAGTTGGAGCTGTGAGACTTCCCTGATGGAAAGGGGCCGGGAAGGAGCACCAACAGGGTCGGGAAAGCGGGGGCCTGGCTGCAGCCCTCTAGAATCCCACCCCAGAGCATCCACCAGGCATGTCCGGGCTTTCTCGCCAGCTCTCAGGCGGGTTTAACGTTCATTAGAAATAGCGCTTCATATGTGGTTTTTTTTTTCCTTGGCAATCATTAGGATCTACATGATTGATGATGTTTTTTGACTTTCAATAAAAGATCACATTTCTGATTTGCAAGGCTTTTTCAGATTTTTCCTTTCATTTTCCTCCCTATGCTTTGGAGCGCCCCCTCCCCTCTCCTCCACATCTTTCCTGCTCGGAGGTACCTGGGGAGGGCGGCGAGCAGTGCCTGGGACTGTCTTGCTCTGCCCAGGGAACGTCCAGCCTGCAGCTCACGGTCCTCATGTGAGAACTTCCCTAAATCTTGGGCTGAGATTTAAATCACACGCCGCTGCTCTGAGAAACCACCGAGCCTTTAGGAAAAGGAAAACTCGATTTGCTGCTGCCTCGAGTGGGTGTGCGAGGCCCTGCGCGTCTCCCACCGTACACGCACACACACACTCATGTGTGTGCACTGGCTCAGACATGTTTGCACATGGCAGGTTTGCATTCTTGGACCAGAACACAGAGGTCTCCAGAGCGACATAACCACTGGACAACACAGGACACGCCAGAAATTGAACGTGAGTCTCCAGCATTCTGCCCGACGTGGCAGAAATACTCATGATGATCCCAAGGTCAGGCAGGACTGGGTGGGGGGACGACAACACAGCACATCACTCAGGGCAGAGATGAGACATTGAGTATCTACATCCTTGAAATGGCCACAGCCCTAGGGGAAACTTAGAAACCGCCAGGAAATGGCCTAAACGCCTGGGAGTGCAAATGTCGTTCCAAAGTGAAAAGGAAGTGGCAGGGCCAGAACACTGCTGGCAGGAACTCCGGGAACAACCCCCCCCACACACACACACACAGCACCACCCAGCAACTCCAGGTGTGGCCCCCACACCCAAAACAAAACCCAAGCACCCCAAATTCCCTTTGATTTCGTTTGGGTCCACACCTGGCAGTGCTCAGGGCTGACTCCTGATTCTGCAATCCGGGGTCACTCGGCGGGGGGGTGGGGGGGACCATATGGGATGCTAGGGATCGAACCCAGGTCAGCTACGTGCAAGGAAAGGAGACAGTCACCTCCGCACCATCTGTCAAGTTCAAATCCATCTTTACAAACCTAGTTACTTTCCTGGTGGACCAGCTGGAAGGTGATTCCCGGAGGCAAACGATTCCTTTTGCTCTTTCCTGGAAGTGGTTTGCACATATTTCTTCTTTTCTTCTTGGTTTCTCAGGTTTGGGGGTTCTTGTTTTGTTTTGTTTTCCTTTAAATCTTAAGTCACTGGCAGTTTTCAAAGTGCCTCCCAGGCTATGCTAGCGTCTCTGTCACGTCCCTTAGATTCCATTTGCTGGTTTATTTAATTCTGGGCCTATAGATCCGAAGCAATGTCTCCGCGGGCAGGGCAGCAGGGAGGGGCAGATCTGCAGAGCTGTGCTCCTGCCCCCCCCCCACCCCCCTCCACCCCAAGCAAACACCCACTGGGCCAGCAAACCAGTTCCTGGGATGCCTCCACCTTGGAGCTGCAGTGCTGGTCTTCACCAGCAGGGGGCAATGCCTGCTCAGCTCTAGCTAGAAAAGGGAGGGGGGGGTGTTGGGGGGGGGGAGCAGGGGATGGAGGTGTCCCAAGTGCAGGAAAACCACATTGCTTTTTCTATGAATAAAGGGGACCTGTGTTCTGAGAATACAGGCAATATATTGAGCAGATTCAAGAGGAAAGATCGCTGAGGCTGAAAGTGGAAAGGGAAGCTCATAGCTACAGTTTGCATTGGACAGAGCGGGGTGGGTGCACATCTGGCAGTGCTCAGGGCTTACTCCTGGTTCTGTGCTCAGGGCTCATCTGGAGGATCATCTGGAGGGTGGGGGGATTGAATTTGGGTCAGCTGCGTGCAAGGTAAGCACCCTAGTCACTATACTATCTCTCTGGCCCTGGTTTGCTTTTAATTTAAAAAAAGGGGGGGGGGCAGAGCAATTGCACAGCAGGTAGGGCGTTTGCCTTGCACGCGGCCAACCCGGGTTTGATCCCAGCATCTCATGTGGTCCCCCAAGCACTGCCAGGAGTGATTACTGAGTGCAGAGCCAGGAGTAACCCCTGAGCATCACCAGAAAGTGACCTCCCCCCTTCCAAAAAAAAGCCAATAAAATAAAGGCAACTGACTATAGGGCATTTGAACACTGCACCAAAGGTCACTCCTGTGGCCTTTGGGGAGGGTCAGTCTCTCTACCAGGGCACTCGACCTCCGTGCAGTCACCATCTGGTGGGGCTGTTTCTACACCATAGGGCCTCCTGCATAAAAAAAAAAAAATCACACACTCAGCCCCCTGAGCTGGCTCCGAATCATATTTTAAGAGAAATGAGATGTCTGAAACTGTATTTATTAGGAGTCCACCATTGTGCCACGAATGCTATTAGTGTCATGTGATTAGAACCCACCTTCTCAGAACACACTTCCCTCTCACCTGAGCCGCTTCCTGCAGCCTTAGCATCCTGGCCATTCCTTCTGTCAGGGGTGGGGGGGGTGGTGGTGGAGGGTCTGAACCACACCTAGCAGTGCTCAGGAGTTATCCCCCCTCACACAGTGCTCAGGGCCATATGCAGTGCTGGGGAGCAGCCTGGGGGCTGGCCTACATCTATCTACTCCAGCAGCCCCGTCAGAAACCATCTGGTCTCTGCTATCACCTCTTTGACTCTCTTGGAATCTGTGGCTCCAAGAGAGAATCCCCTTCCCTCTCTCGCCCTCCCAAGCTTCTGTTTCCTGCACGCTGCAGTGTCAGCCTCGGCTGCCTGGGTCAGCTCTGTCCCCCTCATGGCAAGGACGTGCCCGGGCTACACTCAGCAGGTACTCAGCAGTTATTAATGGGATGAATAATTGGATGAGGAAATGAAGGGTATCAGGGAACACCCTCGAGACAGCACGGCCTGGCTTTGGCAGTGACCTCCTCCTGCACATGGAGACGTGTCCAGAGAGAACAAAGGGGATGATGCCAGCTGGGAGAGACCTTAGCAGGAAAGGGGTTCAGAATTCGGGGGGGAGGGCAGTGGAGACAGAGAAGGGACCACCATGACAATGATGGCTGGAAGTGATCACTCTGGACAAACACTGAGTGCTGAACGCATTTTTAAAAACTCAGAGTTTGAAAAAAATACCCACACTCCCCAAGGCAGCCTGGAGACTCAATGCAACCAAAAGTCAGAGCATTTTTCTTTCATAAAAATAAAACAATCCTAACATGTGCATCGAACCATGAAAGACCTCCATCCAACAGCCAAAGCAATCATGAGAAAGAAGAACAATGCTGAGGGCATGACACCAAACTGTATCACAAAGCTGGGGTCACCAAAACAGCACACGCCGGCACAAAAGCAGACACACAGGCTGCAGGACCGGGCCAGGGCCCCGGCACAGACCCACGCGGACGAGGAAGATACACCTGGGCAAAGGTGTCAGCTAAACGCAGTGAAGGAAGGCCTGTCCCTTCGTACACGGGGTCAGGGGGCAAGACCACTGCATGGAAAGCCACAGGGTCTCTCCACACTGTTGACATGGCACATGTAGAACGTGAGCAACAATGACTATTAGAGAATGAATGAAATCTTGCGGGCGGATCCTCTGCAGAGAACAGGGCCAGCTTTTGTCAGGAGTTTCCAAGAACATATTAAATCTGCGTTAGCAAGACCAAAGCAGTAGCGCAGCGTGTAGGGTGTTTGCCTTGCACGCGGCCAACCCAGGTTCGATTCCCAGCATCCCATATGGTTCCCTGAGCACCGCCGGGAGTAATTCCTGAGTGCAGAGCCAGGAGTAACCTCTGTGCATCGCCGGGTGTGACCCAACAATCAAACAAAATAAATAAATCTGCATTAGGGCCTGCCTTCCCCGGGGGACCCAGGGGTGGTCGACATTCCCCAGGAGAATTGCCTGCAGGGTCTCCCCACGACCTGCGGAAGAAGAAGCTCTGGGCTCGGAGGGTGGTGGGCCCCTCTGGGGGGCAGGAGGGAGGGGGGATGGGCCTTCTCTTCAGGGGGTGGCCAAGAGCCAGGCTTCACGTACAACCTCTGCCTTCAGGCTGGACCCTGCTTGTCTGGTCTTGCTCCAGCTGTTTTGCATCGGGGCCTCTTTGCCCCCTCTCTGATTTGTTTACACGTGTGAGGCAGCTGTGATTCCTGAGCCCACGGTGCTTCGATTGCCCTGAAGATCTGCCATGAGAATCCAGAATCCATGCTGGCGAGTAGGCCCCCTGCTGCCTGACCGCTTCCCCCTTCTTTTTTGATCTGAGCATCAGGGTGTGTTTGAAGTTACCCAGAGGTGGTCACATGCAGCCTGGGGTCCAGCCCCCACTCCACCCGACTCCGTCTGCTAACGTGCAAGACACGGTGGAGAAATGGGTCCTGCTGCCCTCACTCTGTGCCCTCTGCGGAGAACCGGTGGATAGAAAAGCCCCAGACTCAGCTGGCCGGAGACCAGTTCCACTCCCCCCACCCCGTACCCCAGCCGGACACAACCTCACACAAAAAAACAAACCAAAAATAAAAGGGGGGGGGGAATGTTCTGAGGAAACTCTTTGCTGAGGAACAAAGATGACACCTCTCAGCTTTTTCTGAAGCAGAGTTTGGTAGTGGAGCACCCCAATAGCCCTGAGCACCCTGGAGGGCAGCGGAAGTGGACACAGCATGACCCCCCCCCCCCAACACACACAGGTCATCTCACCAGAGGGAGGCCAGAGAGGTTCCAGAAAGGTGGCGACAAA